AGCTTTTAACGACCATTCTTTCAATAACCATACCCCAAACCACGTTCCAACCCAAAGCAAAAGTCCTTTTTGAAGGTTTTGAAACTTTAGATGTTTTGATGATTACAATCACTAGGTCAAAGATAGCATGGAAGGCATTTTGAGCTTAATATCTTTTCTTTCAAATTAACTAAGCCAATGACCACGTTACAAGCAGAAAAAAGTCGTTATCAAAGGATTTGAAAGCTTTTGAAATTCTAATGTGTTTTGAGTGATAAAAATATATGATTGCCTTAAAAAGCTTGGGGCAAATTTTGAAAATTTTGAAGCTGAGCCATTCAAATGATTCAATGATCCATGAGTTGAAGATATTATCTTTATATTTTATGAAAGAAATGATTGTAATTTGTTGAGATAGCAAGGAAAAGATTCTTCTCTATCAAGAATTTCAAATCTTTCATCTTTTTGTCAAGAATTCCATACCTTTCATCTAAATCATGTCATCCATTCATACCTATCAATTCCATCTCTCTTTGTTCTTATCATCATATCCTCACTTGACATATCATTCATATAAAGTTTCCTCATAAAAAAAAAAAAAAAAAGCTTTTGTTTCATTCATGTTACTTATAAAGAAAGTAGAGAAAGCTCACATAGAGTCAAAGCAACAAGAATCCCAAGGGAGTGAAGTTAATTGTTGTCATACATAATCATTTTGAGTAGTTGACATATGATGTATTAAAAAAATCTAGCTTTTGTTTGTGACATGATTGAGTCAATTATAGATGCGAACATGCAATACAAACTTCAAACTGAGGGGCAATTACAAACCCAATTCTTTTTCCAAAAGATTTGCATCTCAAGATCGCAAGGTAAAACCATTTTCAAAATCCTTCATAACATTTCTAAAAGCATTTCTATAAAAGGCAATTTCTCAACTTATTTTCAAAAGCAATTTTTCAATTCATTTTCAAGGACAATTTTCTCAATCATTACATTTCTTATCAACTAAACATTCCAGAACATTTCTCTACCAACATGACATATCAACATAACATTCCATTTCATTTTTCTACTAAATAAGCATTCCATTACATTTCTCTACTAACATTACATTTTACTACCTTTATCTACAAACATGACTCTTCACATAACTTTTCATGCAAACATTTGAGCTTTTTCATATCATTCAACCCAACATGTGGCATTGCATGTCATTCAACCCAACATGTGGCATTGCATGTCATTCAGCCCAACATGTGGCTTGCATATCATTCAGCCTAACACGTAGCTTTGCATATCATTAGCCCAACACGTGGCTCTGCATATCATTCAGCGCAACATGCGGCTTGCATATCATTCAGCCTAACACGCTGCTTGCATTTCATTAGCCCAATATGCGACTTTGCATTTCCTTAGCCCAACATGCAGCTTTGCATATCATTCAGCCCAACACGCGGCTTACATTTCATTTAGCCCAATAAGAGGCTTTGCATTTCATCAGCTCAACATACGGCTTTACATTTCATTCAGCTCAACATGTGGCTTTGCATATTATTCAGCCCAACACGTGGCTTGCATCTCATTTCATGCCCAACACGCGGCTTATATTCCATTTAGCCTTACATGCGACTAGTATTTCATTCATGCCCAACATGTAGCATTGCATATCATTCATTCCAACATGCGGCTTGCATATTAGTCAGCCCAACATGTGGCCTTGCATTTCATTAGCCCAACACGCGGCTAACATTTTATTCATGCCCAACATGCAGCATTGCATATTATTTAGCCCAACACACAGCTTGCATCTCATTCAGCCCAACACGCGGCT